TTACGCACAAAAACTTCACTGGAACGTCTGATGCAAACTATAATCCAGAACAATCTGTCAGATTGCCACCACCTGTCCACTCCAACTTAAATTGTTTGAACCCAAATCTAGAAATCTCAGCTGGTTGCTCTCCAGAAACTAGCTTATAGACTGCTTGAAACATAGACCTTTGTTTTCTTTTTGTTTCCAAAGAAATGTCTCCGATAAAGTACCTGTTTGCCTACACCATATGGAGACCTAACTCTGATGGAAACCCGCTTACACCACCTCTGAAATGGGATGCAATGATTTAACGGAACTGACGTATTTTCAGGACTGAAAGACTGATACAATAAGAGATGGATCAATGCACCCAAACGCGTTGCTTTCTACTTGTTCCAAACTCTGTTCTTCTCCTGCTTTGCCAAATCTCTTATCTTAAAACTTCTAACCCAAGTCTCTCCAAAACTACCAACTTAGCTTTTAACACGTGAAATTTCTGAAAGTAAAGTTTCAAGGGGGGACTGAAGGAAACCAAAATATTTCTCCCCAAAATACAGAGAATTGTTAAGTTAGGAACACTGAACTTGCAGGGAAGCGCTCTGCTGAAGCCTGTTTTCCTGAGGTCGGGACGTAAATCCTTCCTTCCTGGGAACAGCACTTGCCAGAGAAGGCAGCAGTGGAATCTGGAAACAGATTTTCTACCTTCTCTCATTTTGTCCCTTTTAAAACTCTGGTGCTGCTGTCTCCCTTGTGTTGTCACTATGCGAAGACTTATTGATCTTTGTTAAAACACCATTTAAGCAAGACCCTTACGCCGCTGCCTCTAGAGAGATACTTTTGAACTGCGATCTCTTCCACATGATAAGGACAGCATACACCACCTGCTGATTTTTCTGTTAATCTGACTTCTGTTTTCAGGAAGGTGTCTCAATGGAACGTACGAGGGTTTAGAAATTATATTTCCTCTCCTTTAGTTACCATTTAGCAAAATCAAAATTATGCTAATCTCCTATTCTAGGGGGGTTCTAGATCCAAACTACAAACTTTTGTGACAGCTCCATGTAACCTTCAGCTGCAAGGATTTTAGCACCAGCAGCTCTTTGGGTTTTTCTGCTGGACTGGAAGAGAGCAGGTGCACAGGAGCTGAGCCATGTAATCTGCTGGACTGGAAGAGAGCAGGTGCACAGGAGCTGAGCCATGTAATCAGTAGAAGCAATGAAGCTGAGAAAGGAGACTCCCTTGCCTGGCTGCTCAGAGAGAAGAAGAGTTTGGAGCTGAGGTCAACAGCAGACATACAGATCCCCAGGGGTTCCATCTAAATCCTGTTCTCTTTACCACAGTTTTCCATTCGCTTTTCACATTTCGAATGTTAACCTATATCCCTTCTTTTTAGCAATGACCAAAATCAGAGGAGCTTCGAATATAAACAAAAGAAAACATTAAAAACAACTTCCTTGAAAGCCCTAAATCTTTTAAAGTACAGGTAAAGGAAGAGGAGGCAGAGGCCAACGGGAGAGCAGGACGATTGCTCTTCACAGACGCTCTGTGCGGGAGGAGCCGCCCGGCACTGGGGCAGCGTTTGTCTCTTTTACAAGGTGAACACGTGGAGGTCTGATTTCAGGGACACATACAGCTGCCTCTCCGAAGGAGTGTAACCACAGGAGAAAGTGCTTTAACAGCTATCAGGATGCGTGTTTAATAACACACACACATTCCATAACAAATTTTTAAAAGTTTTTATTTATCTAAAAACATAAATTTATCAAACATATCAATTTGCTTTGCAGAGCAATTTACATAAAAATTCACAATGTATACCAACGGCAGCATAGCATTGACCACCTTAGTTTGTGATGCATTGCTTCCTACAGACCTCAGCAACACACAGCCAGTACGCGAAATGCAAGCTTTCAGCTGGGGGTCTCTGAGGTCCCACCTGCCAGCAGTTCATTCAGCAGAAAGTGGGGCACAGGGGGTGCTGAAGAGGGGGACGCAGACCCCACTGCCTGTTAAGTCCCATCTATCTCAGAGTTTGAAACAACATGGGAATTTCCACGGGAGGAGGGTTGGCCTGCTGGCCTGGCCCTTCTCTCACATCCCCTCTACTTCAGCTACATTTCTCAGGCATGTTCCTTAAAGCTGTGAAAATCAATACAAGAAAAACTCACCGTTACTTCATTAATGTAATAGGCTATAAGGATCTCAAGGAGATCCACCGACATTGAGGATCTGTCTCAAAAACGGGGCAGGTAAAACATAACATGCAAATCGGTGCGTAAGGTCTGGCAGCCTTCTTGCACCATTCAGACAGATGCAGATGGCCACGGAAGACTTGGGGAGATATGCAATACAAACAAAGACCTTAACCAATCTGAGAGCTTTCAGAAAAACTTTCACCGGTGGGGGAGTGGGGGCATGTGACTGGGCAGCAATGAAAGGAAGTTTACACCGGTCTGAATTGTTACTAGAAAAGTAACTGACACGCACACACACAGTGGCCTTCCTGGTGGAGCATCCGCAAAGCCAAGAGGCGCGAGCACCCAAGACGCCCAGAGTCGCTCCACCCTGGGGCTTGCTGCAGTTATGCCCTCACCCAAAGACCATCGTTTTCAAGCACCAACACCCACCTGCCCTTGGCGGTAATGACACTGTAAGGGCTGCTCATTCCACGGTAGGATTTTACATGTATTCTCACCATGGCGCAGTCTCTTTTTAGCTCATACCCAATAGTCTAGCTGGGTTTTCCGCAGGGCGACGAACTCTCCTGTTTTCACTTAGGACGGAGAGGGCTTCCAAGGTTTTAACAGAGTGGCTTCCAAGGCTTCAGTTGTAAATGAGTTGGTCACTTGGTTCTCTACAGTGTTCCAGGAGATATTAATGACTGCTTGAGGTTCTCCTAAATATACAAAATCTCACGAACAAGACATCAACCAAGAAATGCACCTGGGAGACACGTACATTTTTTCCATGTGACCCAATGCTCTTTAACATGACAAGGTCCCCAAACTCTTCAACAGCGTTGTCCACTGAGTACAAACTGAATTCTAGTTTGCCAATTCCACTTTATCAAGACAAGGAATGAGGAAGCTGTTCCTTTTCAGAGTCCTGAGACAAGTGCTAGGATTCCCAACCCTGAGTATTTCACAGCTAGTTTATTCCCTAGGTCATACCCTGGACCACTCAAAATTTTAAAAAGTCAACAAACACATAGATGTGACGATAAGAAAGGAGGTAGTGGCCCCAGCCAACAAGGATTTTCCAGAAAATTCAGCTCCACTGTTAAAGCAGCACAATATTTAAAAACACAAAGAAGAAGAAGTCACAAAGCAACTGAAATGGGGCATCCGCTTGGAGAATTAAGAAGACAAGATGCCCTTTAGACTGACTTCCAAGACAGCTTCTTTGAAGTGCTGTGTGGGGTTTCCTCTTCAGCGAAGAGGGTCACAGGTAAGGGCCCCGTGAAACAGCGGTTCTTAATATCATCTTTACCTTCCCTTAGGATAATATACCCCAAAACACTTTGCATCTATAAGATGCATACATCACTGCAGTTCACGAAACACAGTGTGCCCCCAATACGTATCCGTGTTGCATGGCTAATGAAATGTCAAACCCTACTGGGTACAAGGCAGGGGAGCTCCACAGCAAGGCCTCTGCGCAGAACGAGGCACATCTTCACTGTTAGCTATGAAGAGCACGGCATGAAAGTGTGTGCAAGATGACCCCATGAGGTTTTCTTTTTAAGTTTATGCATATTTACAGAAAAGTGGAATGTGTTGTAAGAGTAAACACCCCTGCTTATAGACCCTTTGAGAGACGAGAATTTGAGCTGGGAATAAAGGAGATGCTTTTTATTTTTTGCTATTCTCTACTGTTTGTCTTTTCTGTAGTTAATACATATGACTTTAATATTAGAAACTTTTTAAACATTAAAAAATGATGTTTCAGTGCTCACTGCTCACTAAGCTTGATAAAGGCTGAACTGTGTTATGTATGGATACAGCAGGCACCTATTTTTTTTTTTTTTTTTTTTTGAGACGGAGTCTTGCTCTGTCGCCCAGGCTGGGGTGCAGTGGCCGGATCTCAGCTCACTGCAAGCTCCGCCTCCCGGGTTTACGCCATTCTCCTGCCTCAGCCTCCCGAGTAGCTGGGACTACAGGCGCCCGCCACCTCGCCCGGCTATTTTTTGCATTTTTTAGTAGAGACGGGGTTTCACCGTGTTAGCCAGGATGGTCTCGATCTCCTGACCTTGTGATCCGCCGGTCTCGGCCTCCCAAAGTGCTGGGATTACAGGCTTGAGCCACCGCGCCTGGCCAGCAGGCACCTATTATGCGCTTGTTGAATCCATTTAAAATATGGATTAGAAAAGCAGGACCGCACTTCTGAGAGCTACACAGTCTGCGGACCCTGAGAGTGATAGGAAATATCCTGCAGCACGAGAAACACCCTGGGGGAGACGCCCCCATCTACACCACTGTACTTTCTCGAAACCACAAAAATGTTTTCCTTTTTTCAGGTTGGCTTAAGCAAGTGGAGGTCTTTGGGATTCTATAAATAGATGCATTTGTAAAAAGCCAAGTAATTTTAAGACCCTGTCAAACTATAATTGGCCTGAGGAAGCACAGAACAGATGAAAGAAGCAGAAACAGCCCACTGGGTGTGCAGCTCCGCAGCCAGCTCCATCCTGCTTCCAGCGGCCGCTCCTGGCAGTGCTCGCCAGCCTGCGCGTCCCGGCTCCTCCTCCTTTAGTGTCACCGTGGCTGATCAGTGCACAGTCAAACAGACAGACGAGAGTGGCACAGAGGAGGGGAACAGACAGCTTAGTACTTGGACAGAAGGGCAACAGTTCAGGTAGTAAGATATATGCTCCTTAATTTCTTCTTCTTTATGAGAAGAATTTTAGCATTTCTAGAGAATGAGGGACAAAAAGACATAGAAACAAGAAAACTTAACCGTCACTTAGACATTACTCGATGGTAGGACAGACAAAAATGTCCCATCCAAGAGGAACTATCCTGTTTTTTGGCACAAGAAATTAGTAAGTTTACTAACTGACTTCCAGGGAAGGCCAAGGAGAGAAGCCCGTGGGAAGGAAGGCGGGGCAGAGGGGCCCACACCAGGAAACCACTGGCAGGTGGGGAAGGGGCCTCCCCCAGGCTACAGGCACAACTTCAGTCAAAGATTCCATTTCCTTCACTCCGCAAGTGTCCTCCACAAGAACTGCAGCTCCTACATACATTAATACATTTCTTCTATGTGTGAGGCTTCTTCCGTTTACACCTTACTTCCCTGAGAAATGGTACAGACTCGCCTGCAGTCATCGCTCCAGTCAGTGTCAACACTGAAAGGCAAGTGTTCTCAGTCCTCCAGCAAGACCTAGTCTACACCAAATTAAAGAACACATTTCAGCAAATGTAAACACATCACGGGGTCAGTTTTCACAGTGATCATCAATGATGGCAGTCTACAGAGCGCAAGAAGTGCAAAGCCACCTTCCTTTCGGAATAAGCTCATCTGCCAATCAGATGTCACTGATTTTCCACAGTTGTCTGGCAGCAATTCTCCTCAGCTACTGCACTGAAATCTTCACTTCTGAGTTCCTCAAAACAGCAAGAGGGCAGTCAACTGGATGCTTTCACTAAAGTCAAATATTTACAATGAAAATCGTCTGTGTTGGGTGGGTGCAGTGGCTCACACCTTAATCCCAGCTACCAGGGAGGCTGAGGCAGGAGAGTCTCTTGAACCTGGGAGGCGGAGGTCGCAGTGAGCTGAGATCGTGTCACTGCACTCCGGCCTGGGAGACAGTGCAAGACCCTGTATCAAAAAAATAAAATAAAAAATAAAAATAGAAAAAAAAAAGGAAAAAGAAAACCACTCATCTTGACATTTTTCATTCTTGAATGGAGGAATGGCGGATAGATCTGTGGTAATCTTCTGGATTGCTGATGTGTTCCGGTAAATCGTAGCCCCTCAGGAAATGTCCACTGTTTTGTTGAGCAAAATAATATAATTGTCTGGCGAGCAGAGGTTCTACCTTTAATAAGAGATTTTTAAAAAGACATTACTGAGATATCCCGCAACTGGCTCACTATTAAACAGCACTCAGATTCTAAGCAGACAGTAATGTAAAGCCCAAAGTTACGTCCTAGAACACATCAAAACATTTCATATATGGAGCCATCTAAAGAAGCAATTTTTTTGTTAGTCCTTCCATAGATCAACATGTAAAAAAACAGCCAAAGCTACTTAATTCTGGGTTAAAGATGTTACTTTTAAATCAGCTGCCACTTAAAATGTACATTTAACTAAAACTGAATCAAATCAAGTAAAGTGATTAAATGAAAAGGAAGTCTGAGGTAATCTGCAGGGTAATTTAGGCCAATGATTTTGTTTTTCCACAACTGCAGTTTGAAAGAAACAAGGGCTCATCCTGAATGATTTGATTTCTAGGTAATCGGTATCGTTCTAAACCAGAGGTAAAAGAAATAAAAAGTAAAGTTAAACAACAACAAAACTACTCTTGTGGAAAAAGAGAAGTTAACTGGCCTCAAATTTATCCCGTCTGGTTATTAGCATGAATCACGCTCACCAAAAAACAAAAACACCTTAACGTTCAGCTTTTCCTGAATTTACAGCATCTAAGGCAAGCTGAATGCTCTCCATCAATCACGATATTAAAGTCTATATTTTATATATAGCGACTTAAGCAAAACTCCTGAGTACCTGAAATGAATTAAATTAATAACTTTTAAAAGTGGAACTCATAGGTGTACATGTGTGTTTATTCATTTGACGGATCACACAGCCTCGTCTTCAGGATGACGGGATCATCTGGGGATCCATCTTTCCCTGACTTAGAGGACGGCAACTTCATCCAAGTCACCCTTAAAATTGGATTGATGTATAGCTGAGCTGATCATCAATTTCTTTTGTTTTCTTTTTTTTTTTTTTTCTTGAGACAGAGCCTCACTCTGTCGCCCAGGCTGGAGTGCAGTGGTGCGATCTCGGCTCACTGCAACCTCTGACTCCTGGGTTCAAGTGATTCTCTTGCTTCAGCCTCCTGAGTAGCTGGGATTACAGGTGCGCACCACCACACCTGGCTAATTTTTGTATTTTTAGTAGAGGGGGGGTTTCACCATGTTGGTCAGGCTGGTCTCAAATTCCTGACCGCGTGATCCGCCCACGTCGGCCTCCCAAAGTGCTGGGATTACAGGCGTGAGCCACCGCACCTGGCCGATCATCAACTTCTTAAATGCTGCTTATCAATGCCAAGTTTATTTAGTCATTTAGCAATTCCTGTTGTTAACAACATATCAGTTATGATTTCAACAATCATAGCAATTGTTAAGTCAATCACTGGAGAGAACTCATGAGAAATCCTCAGTCTATGGGATTACACATTGGTTGGTGGGTTGGTCTTTGTTTTTAAAATCAAGAAGGGGGGTTGTATGTTCAAGATTAAACCATGTTTCATTTCAGTTCTCAATGAGAAACAGCATCAGAGCTACAATATGATGGGAATTTTGATGTTAGGGGTGTAAGTTTTACCTGGTATTGCTCACCATGCAAGCCCATTAATGACGCTTGCAAGTACGTAGCAATGTGAAGTTTTCAAATTCAAAAGTCTTAAGGGTTCAAGATTCTGTTTTCCGTGGCAAATTAATGCTTCATGTTATCTATAGAAACCTTTTCTCATAAAAAAGAAAACTAACCCTAATCCTAACCCTAACCCTTTAGCATTACTTGCCACAGTTGAACCCATCTTGAACCACACTAGAGAATATTACGAGGGTCTGATTTACTTGCATTCCTTGAAAGATTCAGCCTCTTTCAAATATCATATGCCCAATAATTAAATAATTTCTAAAATTCCAGAAATAAAAGAGGTGCCAGGACACACATGCAGACCCACAAAATGCCTCCAGGGAATGGATAGTTTCCCATCTGGGAAAAGCTTTTCCACTGAATGAAGACCCACTAGCTAGACAGCATTCTTAGAGCCATCTTAGCATGGAGAATTTTAAAGGGCAGCTTTGACCATCAATCTTTTTCAATCCCTGTAAAATGGAAATATGACAACTTTCCTGAAAAATAAAAAAGATGGGGAGAGAGGCACCCTCCACTGAGGCTGTCCTCCCTGGGTCTTTGACGAGCAGATCTCAGGTCTGGGAGGAGCACATGGGTCCTCAGACTGTGCTGCTTGCTGGACCATGCTTCCTCCCTCATTAGTTTAAGGGTTACGCTTATTTTTCCAGGTCATTTGACATTTACTTTTCATTTGGGACTTTTCTAAATGAAACTCTGCCCTTTACAAAGAACAGGAAGCCACTATGGTGTGAGCGTAACTGAGGACTCACGTGAGCTGTGATGAGCTTCCTTTGCCTCTGAGGGTCTGGAAACTCCTCTCCGAAGCACAGAGTCACCTGGAATCGTGGCAGGGAGCGGCCGTGGTGAGCAAACGCTTGCAACTCTGTGGAAGCCCACAAGAAAAAGACCATGTTCAGAAACCCTCATCACCAAACACACCAGGTTAAACAGGAAGCAAGAGCTTACTGTGATTCTGAACGTGCAAGAGGAATGAGCCTTCTTTACTTCCCTGACTAGGGCTCTTGATGTGAACATCTCAGATACAAAATAGCACGTACGCTTTTTCCCCAGGGCCCTCGGTCTCCCTCGATGCTTCAAGAGGAACTAGTCGACAGCTAAAGCACACTGCTTTGCAGCACTGGGCCCACAAAGATTCAAAAGGTAGTAGACCGCAGTGAAGTTGGGAGATAAAGGACGAGAAACATAGTCACGCAATGGCAAAAGACTGATTTATGCCATGGACAAGTTTTCCTTTAAAAAATCAGAATGTTTTGACATCCTGGGATCATTTTAAAACCTCATCCCGTCCCTACAGAGCCCACACAATCCAATGTCTGTGCTACTGCGGATATCCACGTAACTCAGGCACCACAGAAAACACGTAACATCAACGTGGTGACTAGCACCAGCCCTCGGCAGCTGAGTCCCGCTGTCACTGTGCCTGAACTGCGTGACTCTGACTAGACTCGTGCTTATCTCCAGGGACAGAACAGTAACTTGACCTGAGAAGGGGAGTGGGGCAGCCCCCGGCCTCCGGCTTGTGGATACGCACAAATACCTCCTGAAGCCACCACACCTACCCAAAAGATACGAAACGGACTGGAACATTGTTGGAAAGACGAGTGCCCATCCCCTGACTTTAGCCCATGCCCCCTCCCCGTACACAAGGCAAATCTTCTGCCTGTACCTACAATAAAATGTCAAGCCCGCAAAAGAAACCAGTTGACACAGGAGCTGCTAAAGCTTCTGCAGAACAGATGTGTCCCTATCAGACACACACCCTCGGGCCGTGCCCCGGGGCTGTCCCTAGTGCTGTGCAGACCTGAATAGGGAGATATCAGAGATCTCCACTGTTCTCTTCAACTGAACAGAAATTTCTAGCTAACTTACAGGACTGCTTGACTTCCTGCTTTTTTTTTTTTTTTCCAGAATTCAAATCAAACCCAAATGACTTAGTCAGAATGTGTAAAACACATTCACACTGCCATGATCTGAGACTACACCTACACAGGCTAGTCAGAATGGCGAGGTGGCACAATTCTCTGAAAAAGCCTGCCTCCAACCCTAGATAACATGCGAGCGTTTGGTGGGAATCCTTAATTATGCAGACGCTGGTCGGCACGGCCGCAGTTTTTACGTTCACAGCAACCTCCTTGAACCTCAGCGAACACGTCGAGGTGAGAGGCTGCAGTGGGCACAGAGCACAGCCCTCGGTCACAGAGGAAGGAATGAAAACCAAGACCAGCTCTTGCGCACAGATTAATAGTAAGTTCTAGGCTTGCAAGTCCACAGCCCCAGGACACTCACAGGCGTCCGCCCCCGCCTGTGCCTTCTCTCACGCAGTGCACCTGTGACTCAGAGTGCACCTTCCAGCTCAGTCACCATGGGGGCTCCACCTCCCTAAAAACGCCTGGCAAGAGGCACTCGGAGAAGACAGTGCCCGTTCCTTGTGACACCTGCATTAGAAAGCCCTCACCTTGTGGCATCTTCTGAAACCACTGGCACCAAGGTCCAGAGTCTTCAGAAATCCAGGCCCACTGGGCCTTAGCCTTCCTGGCCCATGTGAGCTCTTCCAGACCCCAAGGCAGACACAGGAGAGGCTGACGGGGGGTCTCCCCAGTCGCCCTTCAATTTCCTTGGTTTCCCCATGGACTCCACGCCCAACCCCAAGAAGGATGGGACCGCCCTGGCCGGGGACTGGGGATGGTGCTGCCCTTAGAATGAGAGGTGTCCAGCCCGAGGTGACTTCCTCACCTCGGGAACCTGCACAGTTCTCCCTCTTCCTATTGTCAGCCTCTGTGTGAAGCTTAGTTATCTTGTTATCTTTTTTTTTTTGGCGGTGGGGGTGGGGGCCGGAATGGACTCTTGCTCTGTCCTGCGAACTGGAACACAATGGTGCCATCTCAGCTCACTGCAACCTCCGCCTCCCAGGCCTCAGCCTCCTGAGTAGCTGGGACGACAGGCGCGCACCACCACGCCCGGCTCATTTTTGTATCTCTGGTAGAAACGGGGTTTTGCCATGTTGGCCAGCCTGGTCTCGAACTCCTGGCCTCAACTGACCTGCCCGCCTCAGCCTCCCAAAAGTGCCGGGATTACAGGCGTGGGCCCCCGCACCCGGCCTGAAGCTTAGTTATCTAGGGACACATTTGCTTTGGGCACCAAAAGAAAATCTGGATGAGCTTACACAAATGTGGGCCACTTACGCCCAAAAGCAAGAGCACGTGTCCGCAGTGCCAGGGCAGAGGTGGGTCCTGTTTTTATTTTAAATAAGTGGAATGAAGAAGCACATTCAAGAAAAGGGGAGGCACAGGAAAAACCAAAGACACAGGAGTTTCTGAAGGGGCTCGAGAAGGAACAGGGCTGGGAAAAGGCGGAGGAAGAGTTGGCGGTGGGGTGGCAGGTAGAGCAACTCCCTCCCTCGTGGGAGGCTCCCTCCACCTGGACGGCCACACGAAGCCTGGGAGGAAGCCCAGCGGGACAGGGCCAGGGGCTTCACAGAAGCCAGCCAGAGCTTCACTGAATGGTCATGAAATCCAAGGGAGAGAAACAAAACTCACTGGTTCTGAAAACTATGCTTAGAAACGTTCGTATCACAGAGCCCACTCATAGCACTCTCCTGTAACTTCTCCTGTGCAGAACCAGTACAGTCCGCTCCACCCTCCCTCTCACTCGTGGGGCGGCATCTGCATGAGGGTGACCCCTCTCACAACCAAGAATGTTAACAATATGCTTCTAACCTTTATGATTTTTCTGGGAATCTGAAAAGAGCCGTCACATCAGCAGACGTGTTTGTTGAGATCACAGTGCAATAAAACAGAACTGTGTTAAGAGGTGACTGTTGAAAACCAGAATTGCAAGAGTACAGCCTGAGCCACCGTCCACCTGGACCATCTGATCCGCACTCTCTGCCCTCAACGGAGCCAGACAGAAGATGTCTACTGGGGCCGAGCCCCAAGCCCGGTGGGCGCCGGAGTCAACAGGCGGAAGACCTCAGCCTGGGGTGAGAGGGACCCTGTCGTTTCCGACCCCTGTGGCAGGCGGGCCATCACCGCCTCCGTTCTAACAGAATGAAGTGCCTCACCTGACAAAAACTGCTGCGTGTCAAAGAGCTTGCAGGTCTGGTCTCTCTCCAGCTTGTTGGGCCGGTCGCTGCACAGCGCCAGGGGCCCGTCCCAGTAGATCCGGCTCTGGCAGAGTCTTTTCGCGTAGAGCCCGTCGGGGGCCATCCAGAGGACCACGCCCCTCTCCAGGTGGCCCAGCAGCTTCTCAATGTTCTTCCTCTGGCCATTGTCCTCTGGGTAGGGGAACAGGACCTGGTCCAGGTTGCTGGCGTCGTAAGTATGTCCATGGGAGATCCGGCAGCCCTCGGGGCTGGACGTGGTCAGCTCCTTCACGAGGATTTCCCGGTAGTACAGGCAGATGTGCAGCCGGCAGTCTGCAAACACAGAGCTCCGGGGTCAGTGCTGGGGGCCAAGGACACCAGCTTGAGGCCAGCGACTCCACAGAGCCAAGCACCTGCGGTGGAACTCTACTGTCCCACAGGCTCTGTGGAGGAACAAGAGGTTCTGGCGTGCAGGAGGCCTGGGAGACACCACATGCCCTGCTTCCCCCCGAGATCAACACTTAGAGAAATCCCGTGGAAAAAACCCATTTAATTCGTCTAAACCAGCATATTTCAAACGTATGTGGCCACAGACTCTTTTTTTAAGGGACGAGTGTGTCTTTCATTAATTTTCTGGAAAAGTAAGTTGAATTCAGGTTATAGATCATCACCATTAAGAACTTACTAAGTCTTATTGTGAACGATGATGATGATAGTGGTGATGACATTTAAGTCATGTGTCACTGAATGAAAATTCATCTTTAAGCAAATCAGTTTTTGCTTTGGTAAGAAATGAACCCTAAGTTTAATTTCTACTAGCAAAAAATATGACGGTGTTTCAGAAAGAAGCAAGTCTGTCCACAAACCTGAAAGGTCCTCAAAATAATAATATGACATCATTTAGGTAAAAGCAAGTGTGTGTGTGTGTGTGTGTATACATATATGTAAGTTATACATATAATTAGGTGCTTATTTATGTCTACATAGTTTATATATAAACATACACACACATATACACATTAAAGGGTAAGTACTAAGGCCTTAATGGTGATTTCTGGGTGGTGGAATGTGACGTTTTTATTTTCCATTCTTGTTTTTCTGATTTTTAAATTAGTTTTCCACACTGGATATGTGATGTTTTTATCACAAAATTAATTCTTGTGAAAAGAAAGAAATTAATGAGAAAAATGCTCTAAAAGTTCATGTAAAGTCTGCTGAAATTCCCACTGGGCTTTGTGTTTAAGTTTGAAAAGAACCCTAAAACTCTCTGAAACTTTAAACAAGATGAATCCATTTACAAACGTTTGGCTGATTTCAGAAACCTCTTTGAAACATCGCCCATGAGTTGAAAGAACCAAGCTAGGTTTGCATAAGCTCCTCAGCCAGGCTGCAGGGGAGCGGCACAGACAGGGGCAGTCGCCACTGGGAACTGTGTGGGACCCCACAATCAGTGGGAATCACAGTTCTCTAACAAATGTGCTCATGGCTGATAATTAATCTGTATTATGCATACCAAAAAAAAAAAGAAACCCACAAAACTGTCTTATTCCTCAATAGCAGGTTTTGAGACTTAACCCACATCACTGTCTCAATTCTCTGCTTCAACACATGGAGAACGAGTCAGACAGTGCGCCCCAAAGAGAGTGGGTGTTGGCCATTCGAGGTGATTCTCGGGGCAGGTTTCATTTCATTTAATGTCATCAGAAATCACGAGGTTGCAGAGATATAAATAGCTGTTTATTTCCTACTCTTCAGGCACCCACACAAGTCTTAGGTGTTCAAGAAAAGGGTTTGAAAGTTTCTAAAAACAAACACAAGCCTTCCTGCTCAGAAGCACCTCCTCCCAAAGGGCATCCTCAGTACTCACGAGCATCTCAGAAAAAAAGGTGCAAGCCTCATTCAGAACTAGAAAGAGCGGGCAGGTAAAACTCCAGCCCCCGGGTGCAGCCGTAGTGCCACAACTCTCGTCTCCCTGAAACCTTCAGAATTCAGTTAGTATTTTTCATCACTGATTTTTAAAGATGCCAAAGGGCATGATGAGAATTCCAAACCTTAAAAACAATCCAAAATATTATCTAAAAAATGAATAGACATATAGCACATATGCTTGGCAAGTCTAAGGGTGCCTTTTTTACAACAGGTAAGATCTCTATGATGCAGGACTTTTTTTTTTTTTTAATAAAACTTAAAAATCAGGTTGAATCCATATTTGTTTGCAAGCGATATGAAAGACCAAAATGTGTATTACTTTTAGGCATATGTCATCGAGGGACCAGAACTAATGTCCCCAGGGAGCAGAGGAGGAGGACTCATTTATGGCTCAACCCGGAAGGACGATCAGCCTCTCCAAATGACGAGCCCTTCCACACTTCCGCACGGAGAATGCTGGCTGGAGAGGGGCCCTTGGTAAAGGAAACTGGAGTGTTTGCACATTCCTGGAAATTCGGAGAGGTGCCAGTGACGAAGCCAGAACGACTCCATTCAAGCCAGTGGCTGAAACTGTCAGCAGAACCACAAGCAGTGATGCTGGGTCTTTCCAATGGTGCTCCTAGTTCACTCTGGTCACCTCATGCACAGGATGTGTCCACATCTACTCCAGACCCCAGGGGGAGCAAAGCAAGTGTCTAAAGTCCCATTGAATCTGCCCAAAGATGACAGAGCTGGCGGCAGAGGCCGGCCTCCTGCGGTGCCTCCAGAACCAAACCCTGCACTCACCTGAGAGCGCCAAGGCTTCGGCAGACCTTATGCTTGGCTCTGTGGGGATTCCTGGAGCCTGGGACTCAGGTGGGGCACAAGCATAAAAGGTTCCTGTCACCTGGCAACCTGCATTTGCAAATAAAAGTCAGATGATGTCTAGACAGAGAGTCCGACGCACTGCAGGGCTTCCTGGGGTGTGTGTGTGAAGCCTGGGAAGGAAAGGGCTGGCGCCCAGTCACCTTCCCGCCCACTCCCAGCACCAGCGACTAGCAGGGCACACTCTTGTGAGGCAAAGACGAGCCGGAGACCAGCTGGAAAACCAAAGCTGAGGGAGAAACGAGCCAGTGCGTGGCTTTGAAAGGAATCTTGGAGCGCTCTCTCTGTAACTGACCCACAGGGAGGCTGAGGCTCAGAGACAGATGACGTGATTTGTCCTTGTTCACAAAGCGAGTTCACAACAGAGCTGAGAGTTCAGGTCCACTTGAGTTTGTGCCAAAGGGCGCAATTTAAAAAGTAACAAATTGTTTAGTCCATGTTTATTTTGCTTGTCTCTTGTGGGTTGGGAGAAGACTGAACCATGTTCCTGAAGACAATGTTGTAGGAAACATGAATGGAGGAAGAATGTGGCATAGAACACCTGATATTACTGCCGCTTCATTTACTGTTACCAACGCTTCAAGACAGGTGTCTACCTATTCCATCACTTTACACAACTCTAGGCATCGCCTCTTTCCCATGGTCACTAATTCCACAGAGCCAGAGCACTGAACACAAGTCTGAATTTCAGGAACTAGTTTTATGTCAGCCGATTCCTCCACTACCATATTGGAAACCAGCCCTTGCTACAAATCCCTCTTGAAAAGCCAATCCCACTGAATTCTGGGCTTTTTTGTGAATGTGCCACTCCATACAAACATTAAATAGCGGTACACCTCTTCACTACCTGCAGCCAAGGATAACCTGAACGTGACTGGGGGAAAAAAGGCCAAATTGCAAAGGAACAAATATTCCTAAAACATCCAAAGGGTTCAATGTGTTGACCCATCTCAGGACTTCTATTTAAGTAACTAACTAAAAAGTCCTGAAAGCCTGAGTTGCAGCATTGTGAGATTCTCTCTGCACCTAGCTAATGAGTGCTTCTGCGGATGGAGCTTATTTTGATATCTGGGGAACTCCTGAGGGCAGGGGACCGCATCTAATCCAGAATCAGGAGTCTCTCTGGGACCCAGTGGTAGGCAGGCACCTGTAGAGACGTTTTATGTGTTTGCTCATGGTATTTTTCCATTCCTTTTTTAGCATCACCTCTAATACCAACAATAGCAACAATGAACACACCACTATTCGAGAGAAACATACCAGCTCAGTAATCTCCCAGCATCCCTACTTATTATCTACGAGCTTCCACGATCTCTTCTATATATAAAAAGTGCGGGACTGTTTTCCACTTCCCGGGGTGATCTCTGTGGCGTTTAAATAAGAGCCCATGAAGGGCAGTGCCTAGCATGGATCCTGACAGTAACCTTGGCTGTGGGATGCCACCATCCCATAGGACTGAGAAAACCCTCCTCTTCCCTGAGCTGCACACGCAGCCTCCAAGAAGGGGAAAGAGCTTTGGTGCTGCCTAGGACAGACCAGGATTCACCGTGGCCCATGGCCAAATCAGCAGTTAGTTCCCTGGTAACCTCCTTACCATTTTCACAAGCTGGGCCTTGCCAGTGGTGGCCGCGGGGTCCGAACGTTACGGGACATTGGTACGGGATTTCCGGGTGCGGCTGATCTGGGACATAGTCCCTCCAGCTTCGGTCAAGGGATGGCATCACGTAGTTGTGAACCTGCTAAAGGAGCACAGGAGAGGCTGAGATAAGAAGCACTGGCATTGAGACGGTGGGTAGGGGGGTGCTCTTATAGCCTCCAGACTCCTAAGGGAATCCCTTATTAGGCTGACAGCCGAAGAATTTTATCATCCAAAAAGACTGGAGGGAATCGTTCATCACACTAGGTGGAAACACCACGGAGGATCATAAAGGACAATGGAGACACTTGTGCTGTTTCATGTAAAGCTTCGTCATATGGCTAAACCTGGCACCAAAAGTACCACAGGGGAATTTGCCTTCTTTTACCCACCAAAGTGGATGAAACAAGGCTGTCATTCACATCAAGAAAGCCTGAAGAGATCAGCTGCCCTGTGGTTTCACATGATAAGGCACTACTTCCAAAATCTTCCACTTCCACAAAAGAGCTGTTTCCCAGAAGACCTGAGGAGCATATTCCAGCAGGCAGACACGCCCAAGCCTCCCCTACTTAAGACCCACACCAATGGCAGCGCCGTGTGGAAAGAGAGGCATTCGTTCGGTGACCTGGGGTTTCTCTGGGCGGTTGGACCAGCGACAGCAAATGGCAAGTTCTGCTGTCTGGGCTGCTGTGGTTCTCTGGCCACGTGGGCAGCTAGCCCGCACAGCCTCGCCCACAGGGAGCCCAGTGCCCTCCCCCATACCTGGGCTGGGAGCGAGGGGTAAGGCGTTGTCATGGTGTAGGGGTGGCTCATGGACATCTGCGGGTCCTCCAGGGTGAGCTGCTTGGCTCCTACATGTTTGGGGAAAAGGGAAATGGCACAAAGTAAAAACAGGAACTGACCTAACTAAATGTCAAATCTTGTAAAAATACCTGAGCATTTAATTCTTAGAATGCATAACACGGTGTTGACAAATAAGGTATTTTTCAGCAACTCCCTTGGGAAGTTATTTGTTCATGCTATTAAACTGGTTTTTTTCTGCAAGGTCTGAGTTGTACAGGACAGGCAGAGAAATACAGGACCGATGGCATGCGAATGTGCCTTGTGACATGAAGGACCCCGCCAGCCAGATGTTTCCCAAGCGAGGTCACCTGAAGGATCTGTTCGAGATGCAGATTCCTGGGCTCTCTTCCAGACACACTGGTCAGAATCTTGAAAAGAAGGGTCCAGGAATCTGACTTTTAATAAGCACCTCAGTTGACCATGTTACACTTTAAAAGTTGACCGTTTTATTACCATGAATGGTAATGAGATATTCCACTCATTACCCCTCTTCTGCAAAATAGTTACTCACTAAAGACTATTAGATAAGTAAATTTTAACAAGTTATCCAGGTTTCTTTTTTTCTTTTTTTTTGAAAGACTAACTGGAAAACACATATTCAATGCGCACACACCCCCATACACGCTGAGGCATACAGTGTGATTAATTCCCCTATGCTAAACATCACAGGAACTTCAGCTTGTGACCCACATAACCCAGGCAGGGAGGCCGAGCCTCACTGTGAGGCAGAAGGCAGGCTAGAAAGTGATGCTCAGAATGAAGTTAAGGTGCCTCAAGGATCTGGCTGCCTCTGTTCTGTGACCCAAATTCAGGAAAGCCCCTACCTTTTTTGGCTCCCTCAGGAACAATCCTGTACACTTTGTACGGGTCCGAGATGTCCAGCTGGCTCCGCTCAACCAGTTCCTCAAAGTCATTGCTCTTGTTCAGAGCACATCGTAAACGAGTCTTCCAGGTAGGAGGGTCCGGCTTGTCGATGCCTTCTCGGAACTTTCCTTTAAATAGCGCCCAAGCCTGGTGGGAAAGAATGAAGAGCATGCAAAGTCAAAATACAGGTCTGGTTTATTAGTTTTCTTTTTGGAGACACAGTCCTGCTCTGTCACCCAGGCTAAAGTACAGTGGCACGATGATAGCTCACCGCAGCATCCTGAGTTCTAGGGATTCTCCTATCTCAGCCTCTAGAGTAGCTGGGCCCTGGGCCTACAGGTGTTCACCACCACACCTGGCTAATTTATTTTTATGATTATTTTCTGCAGAGACAGGGTCTCACTGTATTGCACAGGCATCCTTCCACCTCATCTTCCCAAAGTGCTGGGATGACAGGTGTGAGCCACCATGCTAAACCCAAAAGACAGATCTTTTGTAAGGAATCTTGAAATTGTATTTCTAAAAGAAAGAATGGTACGTAGGTCCTTCAGATTTACACCGTTGCTCAAAATGTAAACTGAAAGACCCCAACTATCCTCTAGGAAAATGATTTTCCATCTTGGACCCTATCACCGCCAAGCCGAAGACACATTTTCTGGGTATTTAGAAAAGGCAGAGTGAGATGCGGAGGCTCCTTGAGGGGGCTCTACCCACCCAGTGTCTGAGGTGTGCCTGCCTAGGACTCAGGACAGCTGTGGTGTGAGCTGCCGCCCACAGGAGACATCTGGAAGGCCGCACAGCTGAGGCACTCAGGGCAAATTCAGACCAAATTCCCGGAGGAAGTCCCCTTCCCCTGCTCCGCCCGCAGGTGGGGGCTGGGCCCAGACGCACGGTTCTCTGGGTAAACTGCCTCAGGGGAAACCAGTCCTAACCGGGACACAGGTGTGTGCGCAAAGGGCAAGGGAGACAGATCTAGACGGAGGCCCCGAGTTCTAGAGCGATGGGGGAGGTCTCCAGAGACTTGGAAAGAGAGAGACGGAGACGCACACAGAGAGAAAGACAGAGGTGGAAGTTCCCGCAGAGCTAACAGGAGAGAGAAGAGAGGCTGACCTCAGGAAACACATGCAGAGAGAGACTCAGAGAAAAGCAGCGAAAGAGAAACAGAGACAGACGCGGTGAGAGAGACGAGCACAGGCGCGAACGCGCCGCGAGAGACGGAGACCCACTGATGCAGGAGGCAGACAGGAATCCGGGGAAGCGTGGGAGGCTTGCGTGGACACCGGAACACACAGACGAACAACCAAAACCCTCGGGCCTTGGACTGCCCTTCCCCAGGCCCAGCCTCCAGGGGTTCCCCTGCAGGCTCCCCGCGCTCAGGCCTGGCGCCGGCTCCCGTCCCCCCAGGAGCCCAGAGGCCTCCTCTCCTCCTCCCGTGGCTCAGGCGGTGCCACCCGGTGCTTCCGCTGCCCGCCGGTCCGCCCCGGGGGTGCCCTGGGCTCGCCGCGGAGTGGGCGCCGGACCCGGGCTCTACCCCCGGACCCTCCCCTGCGCCCCCGCCGGCTCCCGAAGCCGGAGACCTTGAAGAGCGCGGCGTCCTCCTCGCGGTTGTAGTCCTGCTTGCCCGCGTGCTTCCAGGGGATGCGGAAGATGCTCTTCTCCTCGTTCTCCCACACCAGCCCGGGGTACTTGCCGCTGTCGATCTGGTCGATCAGCCACTGGCGGAGCTTCCCGTTGCCGCAGCTCACCGCGCTCATGCCGAACTCTGCGCCTCGGCCGCTGCCCTCCAGGTTCATGCCCCGCGTGCCGTCCGCGCCCGCGCCCGGGGTGCTCCGCCCGCTCTGCTCTGCGCTGCGGGGAGGACAGCGGCCCTTCAGCCACGAGGCGCAGCGCGCCGGGACCCCGCCGACCCGTGTCGGTGCCCCTGAGGCCCCGGAGTCTCTGAGGCTGCGAAGCGCGCGCGCCGCGTCAGGGTCGTCGAGGCCCCGGAAGAAGGCACCTTCGCGGCTGGCCCGGGCGCATCCCCTGGGCGGGCACAGCCGTCCGCCTTCCGAGCTCGGCCCCCGCGAAGGCCCCTGCCCGCGGCTCCACCTGTGCGCTCCTGGGACGCACCCGCGGCCCAAAGGCTCCCGACACACGCCGCTGGTTTTGCACACTCTGCCCTCCAGCCGCCCCCCCGGCCCCCCGTCCGCACTCACTGGTAGCTCTGGCTTCTCTTCGCTCACTCCCAAACCGTTTCAGCCCCTTCCCCGCGACTGTCGCTTTCCACGCCCCGGGACCTCGCCTGCGGCCGGGCGTTCCAGGGGCGCAGCACCAGGTTCCTCCACCCTCCGCTTTCTCTGCTCGCACCCAGACCCTTCGCCCCGAACAGGACCCCATCCCTGCCCAGCCAGCGAGGACCGAGCGGGCTGCAAACAAGTGGCGGCGACGCGGGGGCTGCAGCCCAGTGGCGGGGGATTCCGAGGGCAGAGCGCCCGCGCGACCCCCGAGCAGGCCCGGGAGAGCGGAGCCGGGGAGGCAGGGACCGCGCCAGGCCGCCTGGGCCACCGCACGCCGGGCTCGGGGCGACCCAAGCGTGGAGCGCGTCCTCCTCCTGCCCTGGCGGGCGAGCGCCGCGCTGGAGGCCGCGGTGAGTTTGGGCCCCTTGGGAACGGAGAGCAGGGGAAGGAGCTTCGGACCGGGGTCCACAGGCTCGGCGCTGTTTCTCGCGGGCAATTGTGCCGTCTCGCGTGGGTGCCTTGGACGGCCCCGCCTCAGCCACTCCTGGGCCCGGCAGTCCCGTTAGCTCCTCCCGTCCAGCCTGTGGCGACCCCAGCGCGGGAGCGGGGAGAGCGGACGGGGCTCGGGCCGCGCTCCGGGAGGTGGGAGGTGGGAGGCGGGCCCTGGAGCCCTGGAGCCCCAGGTTCGGCGCGGATCGGGGGGAGTCGGGGCTCCGGGACCGGGCGCGCTCCCTTCCCGCCCCGAAGCCGGGTACCCTGAGCTGCCCTCGAGATGGAACCTGCGGCTCGCGGTGCCCTGTGGCATCCGCCTCGCACCCTCCTCCGGCCGCCTCCAGCCTTACCTCGCGCTGGACTCGGAGCTGAGGGCAGCGGTGGGTCGAGCCCGAGCGGTGGAACTGAGAGCGCGAGGTGGGAAAGAGGAACTTTATAGAACTGTCCGGGGCGGGGCCTGGGGCGGGGCGGGCGGCGGGGCCGGGGCCGCGGGTTGGAGCCGGGCCGGGCGGGGGAGCGCGGGACCAGCGTGAGTCCCGGGGTTCCCGGTCCTGGGCGACCCCCGCGCCCCCCGGAGAGCGCACCCCCGCCCCGCTCCGGGGACTGTCGCTCGGGCCGTTGCCCGCGAAGGGCGAGGGGCGAGGTGCGATGTGCGAGTCTCGCCTTTGCCCCGGGAGCTCCGGAGGCCGCTCCGTCACCCACGACAGCGAAACGGCGGCGACGTGGCCGGGGCGGGAGACGGGGGCGGGAGTCCGGTGCGAAGGGGCCTCGGCTTTGCAGAGCGCGGAGCCCAAGGCGGAGGAGGGTCCACGTGGAGCTGGAGTGGAGGCTGCGGGGGCGCCTGGCGAGGCCGCACCGAGAACCTGCCCCTCCGCGGCGCTGGGAGAACGTCGCACTCGCTACAAATAAATAGGAAATGCCCGGCTCCCTCGAGCTGTCAAGCTTGATTCAAACACTGTCTGCGCGCCTGCCACGCTTACATCCCTTCGCATCTATCAGGCTGGTGGATCGAAGTGACTCAGACAGTGCCCCGGCCCCAGAGTTTTAATTTTCTTAGCATAAAAGAGATGGCGGCGGGGAGAGATCCCCAAGGATCCAAGTGCTTAATCACTTCCAGACTTCAGTCCACCTTAAAATGATGTGGTTTTAACCTCAACCTGGAGGAAAGCGGTTTCCTAGTGGGGTATAAAAGCCCAAAATAGGCCGGGCGCTGGGGCTCAAGCCTGTAATCCCAGCACTTTGGGAGGCCGAGGCGGTGGATCGCCTGAGGTCAGGAGTTCGAGACCAGCCTGGCCAACATGGTGAAACCCCATCTCTACTAAACATACAAAAGTTAGCCGGGCGCGGTGGCGGGAGCCTGTGGTCCCAGCTGCTTGGGAGGACGAGCCACGATAATCGCTTGAACCCGGGAGGCTGAAGTTGCAGTGAGCCGAGATGATGCCACTGCACTACCCCGGCGCCGCAGAGCAAGACTCCGTCTCAAAATAAATAAATAAGTCATAGTCCAAAATAGGAATCATACTTAAGTGGACCAGCGATTTTACATCCTTTTCCAGGATGTCTTTAATCGCAAAATTAACCCCCGAGCTTTCACCCGTTGAGCTTTCACCAGATGGTCTGGGATGCTGAGTATGTGTACTTACTTAGCATTTTCAGGTAAACCATCAGATCACTGGTTTCTATATGATTTTAGACCATCACCACCGTAGGTCAACTTGCAACTTTTGAAAAGCTTTTGATTTCACTTATTTCTCAGTTTTTGTTTTAATCTTATATGATGGGTCAATGTCTCCTAAGCAAAGGAGAAACTAGGTTTAGGCTACAGCAAAACAGGTAGTGAGGTATGGATAGGTATGCTTTTCCTAAAACCAACAGACATTCTCAGAAATTAACAGGATGCCATTTTTTATTTCACCCAAGTAAGTTTTCCATTACCAAAGTCTATGTAATAAACAACAGGGTTTTGTTCAAAAAAAGTTCTGGTCACAACCTGTTTTTCTTCCTTTCCTTTCACAGATTTGTTCATTTGACAAATATATTTTGAGCACCTACTACTTGTCAGGAACTGTCCTAGGCACTTGGAACACATTAGTGAACAAAGCAAAGATCGTTGCCTTCTTGTTGCATTATATTTTAGTCAATGCTTACCTTCCCCTCAAACGTTCACAAACGGACCAGAGAGGAGTTTGCTAAGGATAAAAATGGCAAATGTTTGCACTTTGGTACACGTGTCCTCTGCACCGGGTTTAGTCATTTTCAACATACCCTCCCTCACTCATCTACATCCTCCGCTTTTAGTTCAGAACAACAGTCATTGCGTGAAACTGAGCCTTCACACCACTACCTTGTTTTTAAATGTAATTGCTAATCTTCAACGCCATCTTCTGGTTTACTCATTTGCCATATTGATCCACTAGAAGTTATTTTTCTTAATGATGATGTGAATACAAATAATAAAATATTTTAATCATTAAAACTCTGGATGGCCTCATTACCCCTCAGGGAGGCAGTGACCAGGTGGCAACTGGCAATGCTGACCAAGGACTTTTATATATTAGTCATGATTGAAACAAAAAATGGCAAAGCTTCTCAAATTGAAAAGCTTCCCCACCAAACTCTCACCCCCTCCACACACTGAGACTTGATGAGAAAATCAGTATTCCTTAGTAAAAGGCTGGATATTTATCAGCAAGTGACACAACTTGCTGAAAAGCAGAAACTAATAGGAAATCAGTTCATTAAATGTGTACCCAAAACAAAGGCTGACCATCACATTCCTTGAGGAAGTTACTTATTTCAGTGACTTATCCGTATGTTGAGGTTGCAGTCAGCACACAATCTGAATGGAGAATTTCCATTTTCAATTTCACATTTATCATGGAGTCTGTAAGAAAAGCTGACTTTACCTCAGTTCAGTATTTTAAAAGCCAATCTTTAAAATTACACATTTGCATGCAAGAAAAATATTTTAGAAAACCCATCCTACACACACACACACACACACACACACACACACACCACACCACACCACACAATAGATTCTTAAAATCTTGGATAACACTATTTTCTCACTAGTACAAATTCACTCTTTAAAAGGGGGGGCTACAATTTGTTAAAAACAATGCAGCTGTATCCGTGAATAAATATAAAGGGCCATCATTTTTAATTACCAGAAAAAATCAGGAAAATACTGAAAGTGTTATTTTCATGTAATTTGTATAGAATATATTTCTTCTCTAATCGTCTTTGGTTGTGTGTGTTTGCAAATCTAATTATTGGCCATGACACATTGCATGGCCAAAAGATAGTCTTGTTGGGGATTAAAGAAGTGCTTGAGTTTTCAAGGCTGTGAGGCCTTAGGACAGCCATTTCACCAAAGTCCTACTTCTGGGTGTACAAGGAGGGTGGGGGGGTCCCTGACTCCCAGCAGTGTTTATTGTGATGGTGAAATGATGCTTTGCGCAATGCCTGGCACATCGTCATGTTCAACAAATCGGGGCTTTTGTCACTTACTAAGCACCTCAGTACTTAGGGGCATCTCACAGACTTTCACTCATTTGGACCCCAAACCAAACCTGGCAGGCAGGGAAGGGGGATTCAGCCCAAGTGTAGGGAGAAGGAAAGAGACTGAGAGAGGTCCGGATGGCTGGCCCAAGGACACAGCTCTGAGGAACTGTTTTTTTCTGCTTGTACACAGGGATTGGCTGCCTTTGACATGACTATTTCAGCATCAGCCTCTGAGCGCAGGCTTTCATAGGAGGGGGCATTTTTCACTCTGGCGCTGGCATCGCTGGTCAAGTCAGTGTGGGCAAGAAAGTCTTCCCTGACCTCATCCTCCTCCCCTGCGAGGTGGAGGTTGGCAGCACGTGACCACCGAATCCTCGTTTAACCCTAAGTAAGTGTTTTCTTCTTTCTGTTGCAACTTAGGATCATTAATGGCTGCCTCATGGCCTTTTTGGTTATGGTAAGTTCAGACTAAGGAAAGCTGCATTTTTTTAAGCCATGGATCTAACCATTGACCTTCACTTTATTCTTCTTCACAAGGCTAAATTCACTTTAGGAAATGAGCGAAAGCCGGTGCTGCCTCTTAGCCACTCTTCTCGAATGTTTAATCCTCTGGGAAAAAAAAAAATC